TAATCATGATAAACATAATTTTTGAAAATCATGACATAGAAGATGGTTCGAAAGGCAACCCGTTGTTTGTGGTGTTGCTATGAATTTTGTTGTACAAATGCACATTTTGGTAATCGTATACCTACTTTAAACATTCGACCATATTTGTACGGATTACGAAATGAAATTGTTATTACTAATTTAGGAAGAACACTTCTTTATTTACGAAGAGCTTGTAATTTATTTTTTGAAAATTTTTCGATCTCGTTTGTTTTTTTTCGAGCCTTTAAAGATTTATTTTTTTAAGTTTTTTTTGTTTGTCAAACATTTTTCAAGATTGAAGACAAACAACTAAACAAGATCTTGAAGCGCTATAGTCTATAAGTGATACCGGCAAAATGCAGTCGAATGATTTTTTTACTGAAAGTCGGAGGATCCCTACTGAATTGAATGAGATTGAACTGGTGTCACTGCCATTTCGTAGTCTTTGACATATAAGAGTCGTACAAAACTCAATTGTTTCGGTATTTCTTACCGTGCAGGAACCATGCTACAAAGTGGCATCAACATCTCAACCACAATATGTGTTCTCGTCCAACCTGACAGTTGAAATCTCATTTCTGGATGAGTTCATTTAGTGGAACCGGTTAGTAACTATTCAGATTGAATGAGGATTTTCATACTAAGCTCATAATGTTTTCATAAACATTTTTTATTAAAGAACGCATAGAATAACCTTGTGAGGCGGTCACCAAGTTGTGGTAATCGCATTTTCTATAACTCATCGTAATTGTGTTAATTAAAACTACAATAAGTAATAGTAAATAATTATAACTTGAATTAAATGAACACTATCGTTTGGGGTGAAGTGGCGTTCCCCATGTCGTTTCATCTTTCATGGCGTCCTTTTTTCCTAATGTTAAGGCATCGGGTCCCGAATGCATTATTTTGGATATAGCAGGACCCTTCGCTCCTATAATGTATCAAAAAAAAACTTTCAATCAATTCAATTAAATAATTGGAGAATTTCGACCTATAAGCAAGTTATAGGATCACAACCTCCGAATAAAATTCAGTTGAAAAACAAAAATCAAATTAAAGACATATTGCCTATTAGCATCATAGCATAAGTCAAAGGTAACAAAAAACCTAATTATTTTATTTTGTGCATATCTTGTTCATTAGATATTGCATGAATCACACAAGATGCACTCAAAAAAAACAATGCTTTAAGAAGAGCATGGAGCGAAAGAAAAAAAAAAAACATTAAAATGACTCGGAAGCGAAACATTAATAAGTCGAAAGAAACACTAATTATACAATTAAATTTTTGTTTCAAAAAGATGTTTGTTGAACGAAATTTCACACGTTAGTTCCTAAGACGAGCGACTCGATTGACTCCTCGTCATATGGGAGATAGCATATGAAGACGAAAAACGTAGATATATGACGCCGTCATCGGCCTAGTACGAGGTGAGATAAGGTATAGTCTAAGCTCTAGTGCAAGAGATGATAAGAAAGACCAATCAAGCTCAGAGATAGCTGGTTTTTTGTGAAATTTATTGTCATCTTTAAAATAATTTTTAAACAAATAGTCTATATTTAGTATATTGAAAAAAAATGAGGATTAAATATACGTCAATTCTCAATTACAATGAAATAATAAATTTGTAGAAAAGTCAACTGTAATATACAACAAAAACAATAGAAATTTTATAATCAGGGCAAACGACGTTCGGGACGGGCCGAACACCCGAACCTAAACGCCCAAATGTACGAGACCGTTTGGAGATGCGTTCGGCCTTTCGGACGAAAAGCGGAAAAAAAAAAAAAAAAAAACAAAAAAAGATAAAATAAATTTGAAAAAATATATATATTATGGAGAAAAATAAAATAAACAATATTTTCCTGAGCATTACATCTACATTCCTTACCAAATTTGAAATAAAAATAAAATACGGAGAACAAATACTAATAATAAAAATAACAAAAATAAAATAAAATTAATTTAGTTAGTGCACGAGCACGTTTTCGACACTGCCATCTTTGGCGATTTTTCATTTTGTTTTGGCATAGCCAAATGCCCTGAAATTTACAGATGTGTACTTCACATAATACAAAACACACTAGGAAAGTTTCAGAAAATAATAAAATTTGTTAGGTCCCAAACTAAAGTGAAAACAAAAAGTATCAAGTGAAAACAAACGTGGGCGAGCACGTTTTGACACCGCTTGTTTGGGCAATTTTTAATTCTTATTTGGCTGAGCCAAATGACGTCAAAATTGATAAATATGTGCCTAACATCATACAAAGCTAAAAAAAAAAGAAGTTCGAAAAAAGCAAATTAATTTAAGGCCCTGAAATGATTTTTGGCAGGACTGAAATAATTTTTGAGCTGGTGACTTTCAAGTTGGGAACAAGTTCAAAACTGGTTTACGCTTGAGCTAGCGACTTTCACGGATTCGCGCTTAATTCACTGCCTACGTGCTCTTTACGCCTAGTCATTTTAAATGAACTTATTACCAACTTGACAATATGGTTGATACGTAGTATTGCTTTTTGCACCTCTTTGCTCGCTTTTTAATACACTGTTGTTTTGGATATAATTTGATAATTATATAGCTAAATTCCAATTTGTTGAATCAAACTCGTAAATAGTTGGTTTTACAAGAAATCTATTGAGGTAGAACGTGCGATCTTCATTGCAAGAGATAGGGCACTCGTTGGGCTAGGGTGGCCCAAAGCTTGACCAACCCCAAGAAAACTTCGAATACTTGCAAGAGAGCATCGCTCAGACAGTCTTTGAGTGCTAAGATCCAAAGTCAAAAGGGAACCAAGTTGAACCCAGATCCTATGTATCACCCGCGGTCCCGACCGCGGACCATTTTACCACCCGCGGTCTGGATCCCGACCGCGGCGGCCGGTCGCCCACGGCCGACTGCAGGCACGAAACCCAGAAATGTTTTTCGGGGTCTAAAAGTATTCAAGAAATGTATATATATATATATATGGGCGTGTAGGAAAAAAAAAACTCTACACGCCCGTGATTTTTAATATTTTTTTGTGACATTTTATGGAAGGGAAAAAAAAAAAAAAAAAAAAAAAAAAAAACGATGGATTTTTTTTATTATTATTTTAGTGTGTTTGGGAGTTGGCTCAACACTTCCCCACCATTTTTTAGTGGTCGTTTGCGAAAAACCAAACGGTGCGGATCTCGAAAAAAAAAAAAGGATCCGAAGGCCTGTCAAGGGGGCCCCGAACTGGGTCTGCTGGGCGGGGGGGGGTGGGGGCCCCGCTGGGTGGGACTTGAGGCTGCACGATTGTAGGCCTTCCAGATTGATTTGGTTGGTCTCTCTCTCTCTCTCTCTGACCTGGCCGCGGCCGCGGCCGCTCGGCATCGACGTGCCACGTGGCCACGGTCAGCTCGACCCTCTCTCTCTCTCTCTGGCACCCTCTAACATGGTCGTG